TTCAGCAGCAGCAGCGTGGGACAAAATCTGTTGCTCAGCACTAGGGAAAAGTGGCCCCTCTCCCTGCACCTGCCAGCAGTTCCTGCTGTGGCCTCCTGGAGCCCGTACCACACCAGACTGCCCTTTGTCTGCTCTGCGTTGCCACTACCAGGCAGCTCAAGGGTGGCAGAGATGCCAGCAAAGATGCAGGGCAGCCCTGTGTGGGCTCTGAGTGGCTACAGCAGGAACCACCAGCAGCAGGAGATGGAAGAGCTGCTTTCCCCCTACACTCAGTGACAGCTTTTGTCCCATGCCACCGCTGCTGAGCCTGGGCGGGCAAGTCCAGAGCTGGCGTGGGGCATGTGGGGTCACAGCTGTGCAGTGTGGGCCCCCAGCCAGAAGGAGCTGCTGCTGCCTGGGCTCCCTAGAAAGGCAGTTCAGCAGTGGAACTGCTCCAGCCACACTGCGTGCCCAAGGAGCAGCAGGATGCTCCATTGCCAGGCAGTGCAGATCAGGTGCAGTGTGAGGTGGATTGGGGCTGTGTCCAGGTTCCAGCTGATCTACTGCAGCAGGGGTGAGTCTGGAGCGGGTGCAGGGTACATTGGGGCTGCTCACTATTGGCAATGTCGGGAAAGCACTTCATGGTGCATGCGCTCTGGGCTCTTGTGGGGCAGGGATGGGGGCAGGGGCTGACCAGCTCAGGGGGGCACACACAGGGGCTCCCATGCACACCCCTCCATACCCACAAATCTTCCCCCACAAACCACACAACCACACCTTCCCCAAACACAATCGCACACCCTGCAAATGTCGCACCCACCCACACCCTCCCTCACACCCTCCACAAACTCCACATGCACTCCCCTGACACACACACACACACACCTCTGGGGGGAGCCCCACTCACCGATAGGTACACACACCCCATTACAAACACATACCACCACACATATGCCTCCACATACCCCCATTCACATCCCCCCATGCACCCCGCCACCCCCCCACACAAACAATCCAAGCCACCACCCTCCTCCACATACCCCACACCCTCCCTCATACCCCATACACACATATCCACACACACACCCACGTCTCCCCACAAACCCCATACCCCTCTACCCCCCCACAATATACAAGAGTAAGATTTCATTTTGAGCTATTATGCAATCACACAACAATCTATATACACTCTATATACATCACACAAACACACACAAATCAGAATAAAAAATATTTTTCAATAAAATTAAAATATGTTCTTGTCAATGTTTGATTTTTAATATATAATTTGGTTTTTTTTCTGGTTCCAAGATGGGAAACACCCTTCCCAAAAGGAGTATTTCTGAGTGCAGGGGGAGGGACTTCAGGTGGCAAAGATCAGGGGTTGAGGGGCAGGACTTCTGGTCCCAAGATGGTGACCAGGGGGTGGGTCACCTATCAAGGAGCAGGTATACCCTTGCCGCCCTGGACAGCTCATCAAAACTCATTAAGTGGCCCTCCACCCAAAATAATTGCCCATCCCCGGTGTATAGTCTGTGAACCTAGTTTATTTCTGGAGGATTCAAGCCACTGTTATTACGTGTATTAAATACTTAGCTTCATGGATTTTTTGTAGTCCAAATTACTTTGAAAGAATAGTCTAGTTGATGAATGTTGAATTTCAGTAGAAATCCTGCAGACAGCCACTTTAATAACCAAGCAATTAATCAGAGTAGTATTAGCACAATTAACACCTGAGGTGTTCATCTTGTTACCAGCAATCCTAGCAGCAGTCCACTGGCTTTCTATGTTCTCACAGTTTCCCTTGCACCTGCTTCTTGGTTCTTCTAACTCAGAGTTTAGTTCCAGAGTGCTACAAGATAATTTAACACATTCACTTTCTCAGCTAAGAAACTGGACAGCTTCCGAGCTGTTTCCCCTGTTGGGAGGTGAGACACTTGTCTCTTTCACCAATTCAGACTGATACTAATCTCAATATCTATGTGCATCTGAAATAATACACAAGAGTATGGTGCAGAGGAGAAGAGTGTATTAATACAGCACTAATTGGTAACATCTCTTCATCTGTGAATTTTCACGCACTTTACAAAACACCAGTTGAGTGTCATGATGCTTTTGCAAAGTAAGAAAAAACCTATTAATAATGATGGGCAGACAATAGGAAAATATTTACCCTTATTTGGTAGGTGGGGAAGCAGAGGGCAGGGACAATAAGTGGTACATTTTAAAGTTCCTTTGCCTGTTTGTTCAAATGTGTACATAGGCAGGCAATGTCATTTTGTCAGCGTTCTGATGTGTTCACTTGGCCTCAGTGGACTGACACCTGGGAATGCAGGTACATAGTTTTTCCTGCATATGGTTTAGACTCCTGAATGTCATTCCACTTGGGAAGTGTTGGCACCTGCCAGCTGTGGCAGTGTGGACATGGACATAAAATTTTACCTGGGGGAGAATAGACTTTGAAAGCACAACCCTAGATGGCTTGTCCCAGTGACCCCAGCAACCTTGATCTAGTCCTTGCTGCATTTCAAGTGTGCTGTGCCTCCAACTGGCACTAATTGGCACCCCCTATTTGCAGTTTCAGTGGGGATGCTCAGGACAGAATGGGCCCTTAGGGAATGAACTACTCTTGCATCTTGAGAAACAGCTGCTTTTGGTCATCACTAAGGTGCATAGAAAAGCAGCATGTGGAGCTGTCTACACCATGGTTAAACCTAGGCCATGTGTCCCCAAGTTTCTCTGCACCTTGGAGTCTCATTATGACCCTCACTCTCTATTCAATCTGCCTGGAGCCCCAAAATCTCTCTCTGCACATTCTACTGCCTGACCTTTGCAAACCTGGTCATCAGCTGAGCCCCCAGTTCACCCACCTTAGAAACAGACCGGCTGATCTGTCCATTGGGGCTGGTGTTCTACTGGCTCTAGAGGACTGAGGTCCTGGGTGATGGCCAGGAGTCCAAGGAAAGTAGCCAGTGCTGCAGAGTGTCAGGCTGCAGTCCTGATTTATCTAAGCAGCTCAGTAACATCTTGTGGGAGTGGACCCAGGTCCCAGTCTGTATCAGGGTCTGGCAGCATGTGGCTCTGGACAAACCTAC